ATTGCAGTTGAAATGAGTTTTGTGGCATGGATGGATCGTGACTGCCTATATTCGTATTTATAAATAGAACGACACAAGTGTCGTTTTCTTTACAGTAACGGCATAAGTGCTGTTCTCATAGAAAAATTATGTTTAGATAACGACACTTGTGTCGTTCTTTTAGAACTTTTCATCTTAGTAATGGTACAAGTGACATTCTCAATGACCTTTTCATCCTTTAAACGATACTTGTGTTGTTCTCTTAGAACTTTTCATCTCAGTATCGACACAAATGATTCTATTATTTTCAACAAAATACAAGTAATGAGCATGTTTCTTAATTTTTTTAAATGTCATATTCGCCTTGCAAGTTAAATGGATTCAACTTATTATTTCATGAGACGAGGACGGGTCATGGTTGCTTAAACTCGTAATGATAACCAGAATGGTGCAAGTGCTGTTTTATTATCAGTAATGGCACATGAGCTGTTCTGTTGATTTCTCCTTTAATTTTTATTTATTTTCAACACAACGATCTTTAGATTTTGGCACCCTAAGTTATGCAGTTCTTATAGTAATAATATAAGTTTATATTTATGTATGTCACTTGTGTTGTTCTCTTTGAATTTTTCATCTCAATAATGGCATTGATATCATTCTTAGGAACTTTTTAACTACTGTAACAGCACTTGTGGCACTTTTCATGGACACTTATAAATCAAATATAGTGATAGTTGTGCCGTTCTCATAAACGTTTTCATCTCAGTAACGATACAAGTGTCATTCTCATAGATAAGTTATGTTCTCGTCTTAGTAACGGCACAAGTATCGCTCTCATGGACAAGTAAATTTATAATCATAACGACAGTTATGCCACCATTGGGATGCTAGACTAACAATGAATGAGCATATTTCTCAACTCATATTTATACTAGAACGACTAAAGGGTCGTTTTCATTTCAGTGACGGCTTTTGTGTCGTTCTATTGATTTTTCCTATATTTTGATTTTATTTCAGTACAACGATTTCATATATTGGACCCCCTAATGAATCATAAACATTTTCATCTAAGTAATGATGTTTGTTCCGTTCTCATGAAATTTTGTAACAACCATGAAAACACTTCCATCGTTCTCATATTTCTCTTATAAGTTCAGTAACGGCACTTGTATCATTTTCATGGATATTTATATTTCTAATAACATAACATATACCACTATTATTAAATAACAACAAACTAGAGATGGATGTATAATTAAAACACAAATATTTAATTTAAAAGGCATTAACAAAAATGTAGAAAAATCAACATAACAGCACAAGTGCTGTTATTAATATGAAAACAACCCTTGTGTCATTATAGGGTTGTTTGAGCCCCCCTTTTTTTCAACAAATAAATTTTGTAATAGTGTTGTAATGGGGATTGTATGGTTAAAAAATAATAAAAAATTTTGAGTTTGTATGTAATATTATTTTATTGGAGAACATGTGATTAAAATAGGATCAAATTACTGTTCAAGAATGCATTTTGATAAAAAATGATGCTCAAACAAAGACTATACGTGTTAACATGAGTAAAAGTAGCTACGTCTAATCTATATTCTGAGAACTAATAGTGGAACTCATTTACGTTTTTTATGATATTGTCAAACTTTCTATATTACATATGTTGAGGAGTTCATTATTAAATGTTGTTTCGTTGAAAAAATCGAATGTTGGCGAAAATTTCATAACGACAGAAGTGTCGTTACTGGACATGAAAAGGACACTTGTGCTGTTATGTGTATAAATATAAGTATAAATAGTCACGTTCCATTCTTTTCTTGAAAAATAATAACCGGAACTTATTTATATTGTAATATGTACATGACACGTACAAAAATTAATAGATATGTTTATTAACTTAATCGACACATATAAGTGTGATAACTTATATTTTCACCATCTCAATAATATAAAAATTATATCATTTCAATCATTCTTTGTAACTAGTCAATATTTTTGTATTATATACGTTAGTGAGTTCATTATTAGAGTCATTTCGCTGAAAAAAATTAAACAACAACAGATAACGACTGTAATGTTGTTTTACTTTACAAATAACGGCTGAAGTGATATTCTATCTTTCAAATAGCAATTTTAGTGTTATTACATCCAATGGTTGTAAATAACACAAAAAGCACACTAAATACGCAAACAATACCAACTAAATATTATTTAATACTATATTTAATAATAAAAATGCTATATAGATGAAATTTCTAAGAGCATATTTCCTCTTTCTTTCTATGTAAATGTATGCTAACCAAACTCTTGTTCAAATGTGATTGAAGAGAAGAAAATATGTGAATACAATTTTGAGAACTTAAAATTGAAAAACATGAACGAGGAAGAAGATGTTATTTTCAAAAGAAAAAAAAAAGAAATTAGGGCTCTAAGGTGCATTTGAAGAAAAAATGACGAGATAAAATGAGAAAAATTGGAAAACATTAAGTTTTGCCAACTAAAATATTTTACATTTTTTTATTTGTTTTTATTATTGGTCAAAGATCATTTCACCCAATACATTATTTAATTGGGTCAAATGGCCAAATTCCCCCCAAAAAAATTATCGGGTGAAGGCGTATTACTTTGGCGGTGTTCTCAAACCATAATCTAAAGACAAGTTTAGCTCCTACTTGAACTCCATTTTAATTTTAATGGATTTTTTTCTTTATTCTTTCAATCATATAAACTTTAATAAAATAATATTACACATCGAAATCAAATTATTTTTTTATTTTTTAATTGTAGAAAAATAACTATTCCAAAATACAATTTTCTCAAAAAAAATAAAAATAAAAATAAATAAATAAATAAATCTAATTTTAATTGAGCAAAACAGGAGGTTAACGGTTAACCTCTCAACCTTAACTCTCCTTCTCGACTGTTGGATTTAAAAGACGTTACTGATCCTGTTGCTGGCTAGTAAAGAATTTTCTGATGATTCACAACCCAACTGCAGTTTGGAGATGTTTCAAGCAAAGTCTTCTCCAACTCATTTGACATGTAGAGCACGAGAGATATCTATGCATGATCTTGAGGGGGTGTTGACATGGGTTGTCAACAAGCTGTAAATAAAGAATCGGCCGGAGAAAGTCATGGAATTAATTTTTATTTAGATCCCCTTCTTTGAAGATATTAATTTTTATTTAGAAATCCTTTTTTCGAGGGATATGCATAATAATGTTTAATTGTTTTTATTTCTTCTTGTACCTCTATTTATATATGTGTGTAATTGTTGCATTGAATGAAGAGAAAAAGAAAAAAGAAATCCTTTTTTTGTATCAAATTCAATTCCTCCCTCCCAGGGCAAATCAAATCCTATTGGCCATTATTAATATTCTCGTGTTCGTACATTTCAATCCGATTTCTCCTCATTTCATTTCTGTAAGTAGCGGGTACATTTTTTCTTTTTTTTCTCCCATGGTCATTTTGATCCGTTTAATCTTTCAATAATGTGATCTTGCTTTCAATTCAGTACGTGCCAGATGCTTGTTATTATGTGTGTTTGAGTTATATGAATGCTAATTTGGGATTAACTTAATAGTGCAGTTGATTTACGTACGCGACATGTATGTTGTGTGGAATTGAGTGTCAATCGTTGCTTTGTTTTAACTACCTGTGGATGCAGAAGCAAGCATCTGTTAGTATGCACTTGCTTATATTCAATTGTTTTCAATCAGATTGGAATAGATCTATTGAGCTTTCATGTTTAGTTGTTGGATCTTTCATGCAAAACTTTTATTTATGTATGCAGTGTGCAGTGCAATTGTTATACACCTACATCTACATGCAAAGCCTACACAAAAGATTAATTTTTACGTTATAATCAAATCTTTATTTTTCTACATAGAAAGAAAGGCTACACGCTACACGTGTTTCTTTCTGTCATCTTTTGGAAAATTCACGTGGAAGTCTTCTAATTATTTCTGCGACTTGTTATTTGTTAAAGAGACATACATTTGAAAAGTAATTCTTGTGGAGCATGAATCAAATCATTGCAACAGTATGAAGGTAACATGAAGTGTATCTAAGATGTAACAGAATGCAGCTGCTGGTGAGTGAAGATACTACTACCCCAAGCTATTGGTTGAATTGGAGATTCTTGCTATGTGCACTATTGGTCTTGGCGTCTGTGCTCATTGCCTCATTTCTGATATGGAAATATGAACATTCAGGCAATTCCGAATCTGAGAGAGGGGAGACACAGCAGGAGGGACCGCGGATTTTGCGTTATGATGAATCTTGGAAGCCGTGTCTGAAAGAAATTCACCCAGTTTACTTGGTGGTTTATCGGATGATAGCGTTCTGTCTACTTTTAGTTACCCTCAGTTTTGATGTTGCCACCAGTGGTGTTGAAGTACTTCTCTACTATACACAGTAAGTCGTCTTCATCTTCTGGAGTACAGATAAATGCAATATTGCTAACAAATTGATACAAACCCAAATATGAGTTAAGGCCTTCTTTGGTGACACTAAATGTGACGAAAATGCATAGTTTCTTAATTTATGAAGTATCTGTCCCCCGGAATCTTTGTTATTGAGTACTTTTGATTAACTCATGGAAATTGTTGTTGACTCTCTCTAATTACATGTTCTTTTGGCTCCATGCAGTTGGACTCTAACTTTAGCCACCATCTATTTTGGGGTATGGACGTATGGGTCATTCATTACATTGTTCCTAGCATATATACGGAATGTGTCCATGAAGTTACTGTCTTGAAACCTGTGATGTGGTTGCAGTCTCTATTCAGTGCACAGCACTATCCATGCAATGTCTAATACTTTTTCGTAATGGAAAATGAAAATTCTACAAATTCATCTCTTCCTATCTTAGGTTTTTTAGTTTCTTGTGTAGTTTGGTTTGTTGCTTTCTATCAACGGATGTTTACAGCAACACAAAGGAAATAGCTTCGGTGACAACCTTGTATCTGAGCTTGTGGAGCAAGGGTTATTTGTGCCTCTTGCCCATGGAGTAAATGAAGCTGGAGTCAAATTACCAGATGGACTGGAATGTCCAGGAGAACAACATTGTTTGCGAACTGCTGGCTTGTGCGGATACCTGTTTCAAATTTTATTCCAGGTATCATATTTTAATACTAACACATCTAAAAAGCCAGATAACGTTACGTATGGTTGAACCTATAATTCTTTGGCAAGTTCATCACACCTTCTAATGCATACTTCCGATGAGCAGATGACTGCAGGGGCAGTAACTATTACTGATACTCTTTATTGGACTCTAATATTACTCTACCTTCACATCAAAGATTATGACCTGAGCTTAGAAAGTGCTTTATATAATCTCTTCAGTTTCCATCCTTAAAAGATTACTGATTTATCTAGGACCATACACGCATCCTTGCAAACTTAATATATGCCTGAAGCTAAATACATTGGTGCCTATGAAGTACTATGAGAGGATCCTTGATTTGCAAGGCAAGATTCAAAGAAGCATTTGCCATTGACCTACTATGTAGCATGATTTTATGCAATATTATTGCAGAAGGGTACCTTCGTGCACACGTTCATACTGGTTAGATGTAAATTCGAAACATGGCTCTTCCTACTTCTGTGCTATCACTGATCCCTTTCCGTTTCAAGTAAAACCCTGGACTCGGGTAGCTCTTTTTCTGCCAGCAAATTTAAATCTGTTTTATCCCTAGTCAAGTTGAAATTCATGAATTGCTTCATTCTCTTTTATGTTTGTTATGAGTTTTATATGGACAAACAAGATGCATTTTCTTCATTTAGTTACTTGTATCACTTACAGATCTTCCACTTCATATGTGTACTATGGATCATTTATCCTGCCACATAATTGGCTCCAGATTTATGAGAGCAGGATAATCATTTTTCTTTTTCCTTGGTGGTAATTTGTAGACCCATGTGCCTACAAGATAGTTTCCAAAATGCCATAGCAAAACCTTAGCTTTGACAACTTGATGAAAAAAGGAGCGGTTTCTGAGAATACATTGACCAGATTTTATATCAATTTCTCAAGAACCGAATCCATTTTTCCGGGTTATAGTCGTGGACGCACATAAATGCATTCACTTCTTTATTTTGTTCATTTTTCCTCATCTGCTTATGCCTTGGGAGTGAGAGACTGAGAGGGTAATGGTGAAAGGCTCCTTTTCTTTCCCTTTATATACTTGTTTATGCTCTGTCTCGGCAACTTGCAAGTTGGGGCAGGCAGTGCTTATATTTCTGAATGGGAATTGCACGACTCCATTCTGTTGCAACCTCCCTAGGATCTAACGTAGCATCAAAACATTAAAGATTTCATCTTGAAGCGTTCATTGTTTGTTTTATGATTATAGGCTCATGCATGATATTTTATGAACCTATGGTATTATTATAGCGTTCAAACCGTTTCTTTAGGATAAAACATATATGGGAGGACCCTTAACTTTACCAGTTTCTTTTAGTTGAACTTTTGGCAACCCAACCAGCTTTTGAATGATAACTTTTCACTAATAACCAATGAAAGTTAAATTCACTACAAGCATATATGAAATAAAATATAGCATTTAACATTCCCCTCTGTTTCCAATCATCAATTCTTGCGTTGTATACTCACGGGTGCTAAGGATGCTCTCTTCTTTCAGCCATGGCGCTTTTTAATGATATAATCATTCATTCTTGTTTGTGTTGATGGTTTTCTGCTGTGGATATGCTACATGTACATCACCATTTATATATTTGTGTACATGTACATGATGTGGTGAAATATAATTGAATCAGAATCTCATCAACCTAACAAAAAGAAAAATCCCTCCACTCTCATTTTGACACATTGTTTGTTGGTAAACCATCATGTAAATAGTTATGTACAAAAAGTATTTTCCTTTCTACAGTCCAGTTTAAGAAATATGTCTCCATTTTTGGTCAGTTGAAGCTTGTAGAACATTCACTCAATGCTATCTTACTTCCTGGGGATACAGCTTTGAACAGCTCGGTGAGCTACTGCTCCACTTTCTGTACATATTTTACATGTTATTAGCATTTGTTATTCATTTTCATTTATGGGAGTGTGGAAATATTCTTGAAATCTTCTTCTTAGGGATTCCCTTGGCATCGGATCTCTTTCTTCATGTGGTTGACGGCTATTTATGTAGTCTTCCAGTGGATTCTTCATGCATACGTATCAATTTGGTAATGTCGGTTTCTCTATTCATTTTCATTGGAAGCATTGTCTTTCATGTTTCATTGGGTATTTTCCTGGTTTCAGGTGGCCGTACCCAATCCTTGACTTGTCACTTGAAGATGCTCCTTTATGGTTAGTTTATCAGCATCTAGGCATTTATGTGTACAGATACTGGCTTCCATACAGTCCTTGAATAACAAGTTCTACAAGAACGCTCTTTTGCGCATGGCAGTACCCATATCTGCTATGCATTTTTTTTATTTTTTTCACAACCTAGAGTCTGATTAATAGTCCAATTTGTTCTAGGTCAATCTTCTTAGTCTTTATTGGCTCCAATGGCTCCAAGCTCTTTATTTTCTTCCTTGATCCATTTAATATTTAATTATGGATGAGGAAGAAAAAAAAACTAAGGCATATCGTTCAAATCATCGATCTGGTCAAGTAAAAGTTTTGTCTTGGTCCTAGTGGAGCCTTGGTTGTGAAATGGTAAACACACTCTCCCACTAAGATAATAGCCCGTCGTGCAAGCCTCCACTAGGGACTCAACCCATTTGTCAGGAGAGTTCATAAACAAATACAGATCTTTTTGAAGAGGAGAAATAAAATCAACTTGAATTCGGAGCTACCAATGATATGTTGGAAGGAGGTGTGCTAAGGGGTTCCACTCGCTGCCTATGGGTCACTATATCTTTTTTGTAGTCATAGTTACAATGGATCAAATTTGATCTCTTGTAGATGTTCGGTCAGCACGATTGGATGGCCCTTAACAGTATTAAGAAAGAAAATGACTTAAAATTTTGTTTTGCATGTCATCTGGTCCTCTTTAATATTATGCACTAAATATTTACTTAATATACTTCAATGGGCAGGTATTTGGTGGTGGCACTAGCGCAGATCCCATGTTATGCTATCTTTGTATTGCTGGTGAAGATAAAACATTTGGTATTGTCCAAATGGTTCCCTCAGTCATATCAATTTTGCCCCTAAGACCTCCATCCAATATCAAGTGTTTCTTATAGTCTACCACTAAAAGAGGTATTCAAAAAGTATGTATCATTGGAAAGGTTCCCTGTGATACGTATCAATTTTCTTTGGGCAATTCTTGATATAATTGGAATAGATGGGTGATACATTTGGCAGAATGGAAAGTATTTCTTTTGAGATGTATGTTCGGCACAGAAAATATGGAGACGTTAACTTTTTTCTTGCAAGAAAGGGGTGTTTTTATTAGAGTTATGCAACTTATATCAATGATCATTATTTGATGTGACATTTAATTGATCAAACACATATTAAGTGGCTCACATATCCATACATTTAATTGGACACAAGGATTTCACCATGGGTAGTGCTAGGCATACAGCCCAACACATTACAGAACCCTAAAGGTTCTCACAAAGGGGTGGGGTCAGAAATTTTTTCTTCATTTTTTATTATATCGGGGCCCACGTGGGACCGACCCCATGTGAATGGCCGGTAAGACCTCAGTCAAAAAAAGCTCTGTGAGCTTTATGCTTTCACCATTAATCCAAATGATTGCTCTTTAATATATTTCTCGTTAGGATGGTAACCGAAATTCCATTCTTTAGTCTAAAATCAAACTATCGTCCACTGATTTTCATTCGAAACGCAAACATGCTTAGCTGTGTCTGGGAAAAATATTGGCCATGCATTCCCTAGCCGTCCCAATCATATTTCTTGTTTAGGTCCATAGCCTTCAACTTCGCAGCAATTTTAGGGAATATGGATTGATAAACATATTTTTACCTTGTAAATGAAAGAAAAAAATGAGGAAAAGAAATTACCTTCCCCGACACCATAAGCCTCTCCCTTGCACACACTCTATCAGCCTCTCGTAGAACTTCACATCACCTTTCATTCGGGCAAGGAGCCATTGTTGGTACGAAGGTTGTCTGGAGCTTTAGGATTGGAGCTGTTCATGGTGGCAATGGTAATGGCTATTACCGTATATGATTTCTTTCTTTTCTTTTATAATTTTTGGGTTAAGAAATGTAGAAAAAGGGACACGTATATTTGAACTCATACATAGGCATTTTACCCCGTAAAAAACATTTGTACCTAGTTTTTAGTCCGAGGACTTCCTCGACTATTAATCTGAAAAAAAATAAGTGAAAAAACTTCCAATGCATAGAGACTCACGACAATGTAAATTTATCTTAGAACTGATGCACACATAACTTCAACAATAAACATCATATCAATCCACAAGTTCTTAAGAAAAGACACCAGCAGAATAAAACATCGATAGAACCAAAATAAAAATAAATAAGGAGCATTTATTTATCCTTTTTCACCATATTTAGCAGGACACGCAATTCTAGAGTCCTTTAAGCAGAAGATTTGGCAAGCACTCCAGCTTCAGTTAGCAGCGGGACAAGATTTCCATCCTTGTGCATAGCAGTTGTTGCTGCAAAAGCATGCAATAAAATACAAACAGTAAGAAGGATTACCAACCAAACATATGGTTGTCCAGTCATATTTACAAGGATTACAATAATACCGTCACAGCCACCAATATGCTTCCCACTAATAAAGACATTCGGAACAGTGCGTAGTCCAGTCAATTCAGCCAATGCAGATTGTATCTCACTTCCATCACCTTCATAGTTACGAAACAAAAGTGCATTCGCTCAGCAAAACTTAAAATCACATAACATTATTTGCAAATATGATAATGATTGAAAAAATGCAAAAGCAAAGAAGCAAGCTGAACACATAACGACTAAAAATGAATTTTCACATACCCAAATAATTGTACCTACACCGCAAGAGTATTTTAATCAGCGAAAAATCATAAGTTTTACCACAGTCTCTGATGCGGACATCCATTTACTATTTATTTTCTTCCATTTACTATTTATTTTCTTTTTGGACTATTAGTTATATTTTATTTGGACTATTGTTTATGTTTTCGTTATTGGGCTTGTTTAGTGGGTTTGGCCCAAGCCCTTCTCTTTAGGGTTTGTGTTCTGCTATTTATTTCTATTTTGTTTCTCATTTGAGACAGTTGATGATGAATTAGAATTGAAATATTTTTGGTGGCTTGCAGCCGTTTTCTCCCTCCCCTCTCTTCCCCTGGTTTCTTCTCCTCTTCTCCCTTCTCTCTGTTTCTCCTCCTCGTTCCTTCTTCTTTCTTTCTTATTCATCCTACATCAAATTTGGTATCAGAGCCAAAACTTGGATAATTTTTCATCCACAATCCAAAACTTTCTTCCTATCCTCTTTCCAAAAACTTGTGAAACAGCACAAACAAAAAAAATTGTTATGAGGCAGCAGTTTTCTTGTTCAATTTTCTTTCTAGTTGATTAGGCAAAAAAAAAAAAAAAAACAAAAAAAAAAAAGTTACTTTCTTATTCGAAAATCATTAAAAAGAGATTTTTTGGACAAAATAAATTTTGGAATAGTGATTTTTTAAAGAATATGTGGTTGAAAATGAATTTTAGAAAAAAAATTAAAAAAGAGTTTTTTTTTTTTTTTTTTTTAGACAAACAGACGCTAATGTTCGGGGTATTATTTTAAAAGTAGCACATGTTATATAGATGTTGATTATCATTTCAAAATGCAATCGAAGTGTAATTTTACCTTTGATAGCTCCTACAAGATAGTAACTTGTCTGAGGATACAAATTTTACAATTTGAAGTGAAAAAAAGGAAAAAAAAAAGTGAAAAAAAAAGAAAAAAAGAAAAGAAAAAAAAAAAGAGAGAAGAAACGTCTTTTCTATTATTTACAGGTACATTTTTTATTCTGGTTGATCTAGCTTGACTACTTCGACGAACGAAAGGGAAGTTCTTGCTTTTATTTATTGTTGGTTTATATTACTGTTTCATTCTGAAATTGTATCAATTAAATTTTTGTGCTGCTGATCTATTTTTATCTAAACTCACGTAATTGGATCCTTTGACCTCGTTAAATCTCACTTTAACCTGCTTATTTTACGTGATTAGATTTTGATTAGTATTTGACCATTGTTTTATTATTTTACATATACCAGCAGTACTAGCTTGTTGTATATAATTTTAGTCCCAAAATTTAGATTTAAAAAAATAATAATAAAAAAATAGCTCAAATTTTCATTTTCCATTACTTGCACTTTTTGTTTGTTGATCTCTCTATTGCATGTCATTAAGTTGCTATTACAGTGCAGGTAGTTACATATTGGTCATCTTGTCACTTCTAGCTCTAGTACCTTAAACATGAACCCCTCACAATTCGATGCACTCACTCGACAAATAGCGGCTATTCAAACTCAACTGACTGCTACTCTTGAAGAAAGTAAGACCATATCTATTAATTTGAAAAATTTTAAACACATCCCTCATTCGATTGATGTTGATAATTCTAAGGTGTCCCATAATAGACAACATCGTCGACAAGGTAATCAAAAATACTTTCGACCCGATCGTAAGGATAGGAATAGGAATAGGAATAGGAATAGGGATCAGATTCGTGAGCGAGAACGAGATAATTTTGAAATTCTTACCCAATGGAATGCCCTTAAACAAGGAAATCAATTAGTGACTGAGTATATTGCGCAATTTGAGGAATTTCGAACCAAATGTCATTTAATTGAGGATGAGAGTATGACTTTGAGTAGGTTTAGCTAAGGTCTGAGAAATGATCTTAAGCGCGAGCTGTTCCTTCGAGGTGTCACTACTCTTGATCACGCTTACTCTTTAGCTCGAGATTATGAGTTGATTATTAGTACTCCATATGAAAAGCGTGGTCATCGTCACTCACCCATCTCATTAGCGTTGCCTCATCATAAGTCTATCATAAAACCGTCTCCGTCTAATGTTCCTCCTATTTGGAAAAATAATTGTAAAGGTCGTGATAGTACAAAATCTTCTTTTCCATATAGAAAGCATATTGACAATCATCCTTCGGTGTCATTGGCTCCAATTCCTCCAGTTAAGTCCCTTCTAGGGCCTCCCTCGTCTAATGTTCCTCCAATTTTGAAAAATAAAGGTAAAATCCTTGATAATCATCATTTGGCTTCATTGGCTCCACCTCCTCCCGTTAAGTCCCTTCTAGGACCTCCCCCTTCTAATGGTTCTCCAATCTTGAAAAATCAGGGTAGAATTTTTGAAACTCCAAGGTCTTCTTCTCACTTGTTGTGCGTCAACTGTAAAGACTTTGGTCACATTTCTTCTAAATGTCCTAATCGAACCTTAGTCATGAAAGAACGAAAGAATGTAATAGAGGAGCCGTTAGAAGATCTAGTCTATGAACCTAAACTTGAAGATTTTGATGACTTGGATGATAGTGCGGACACTTCCTTAGGTGGAATCCAGACTCTTCTCGAGACTTTGGATACTATATCCCTTATCTCTGACAATTCTCGATCACATGTTATATGTCATACCCTTACCCAAGTTAAAGAACTTGATGATGTCACCAATCACCCTTGGAAAATCCAATTGCCTGTGGTTAACACTAAGGCAAAATTATCCACCACTGACCAACCTCAAATTGATGGTCAAAACAAAAGTGTTAACCAAAATCCTGACAATTTATTACAGTCTCTAGTCCAGAAAAATCTTGGGAATTGGGACTTGATCCCTCCAATTGTTCAAATTGCATATAACGATCATGTGAACTGGTCTTTAGGTCTAAAACCCTTTGAAATTATTCTTGGTTGTGAACCTTTGAAATCTCTAGACCTTATTCTCATGCACCCACATGCTTGTGTGTCTCTGTCAATTGAGGTAGTTGTATCACATTTTCATAGCTTGCATATTGAGATCGATAAACAATTTGAAGCAAGTAAAGCATTATATAAACCTCAAGTTGATTGGCATAAACAATACTTTGAATTTAATATTGGGGATTATGTTATATTGCAAGCGTGTAATGCTGGTCTTTTTAAAATTTCAAAGCATGTTGGTCAAAATGCCTATGTCAATGACCTTTTATCACATTACGACCACCACCCTATTTTATTTGTTACGGACTTCGATGCTTACAATGGCTATTTTAGCCCCTCTGATGACCCGTTTCTACTCCCACATGAGAATTCCCACATTGAATCTTTTGCCATGTCTGCTTCAATCCCACCTATCACAGCACACAAAAATAAAATTGGTGTTATTTTGGATGAACAGCTTGTGTTGACTAATAATAGAGAGATTCAATGCTTTCTTGTTTGTTGGATGGATCGACTTGATTCTGACGGTACATGGATTCCCAAAGAGAGACTTCAGCGGCGTAAGCCAAATTTATTGGAGCTTTATAAGAGTCAGCAAAATTCTCCCTCGCCTAAGTTATCTTGGTCAGCTCATGTTTTTGCGGGTAATTTGCAATTGGCATCGTCATCATTTGTGGAATTTCGATATTTGGTTCGTCAGAAAGATCGTCCCCCATGGCATGACTTGGAGCCTTTAACATCAGATTCATTGCAACATTTTGATTTATCCACTCGACGGGGTTGAGTTTTTTTCCCACCCCGGGAGAGTTGATGCGGACATCCATTTACTATTTATTTTCTTCCATTTACTATTTATTTTCTTTTTGGACTATTAGTTATATTTTATTTGGACTATTGTTTATGTTTTCGTTATTGGGCTTGTTTAGTGGGTTTGGCCCAAGCCCTTCTCTTTAGGGTTTGTGTTCTGCTATTTATTTCTATTTTGTTTCTCATTTGAGACAGTTGATGATGAATTAGAATTGAAATATTTTTGGTGGCTTGCAGCCGTTTTCTCCCTCCCCTCTCTTCCCCTGGTTTCTTCTCCTCTTCTCCCTTCTCTCTGTTTCTCCTCCTCGTTCCTTCTTCTTTCTTTCTTATTCATCCTACATCAGTCTCACAGCATTTTGCATTCACGAATCATGAATTACAAGTTCAGATATATTTTTACTAGAGCCAGATCACCTTTACAACAATATCATTTTTTCAACAGTGCTCAATAAATAGGATAAGTTGAGTATAGTTTGAGTTGGTCAAGTACTACCCACTTATCCAACAATCTTTTCTATCTATTTATAAACGCATCATAAACAAGCACTAAGTAATTTCGGATATCCAGCATCCATGAAATGGCCCAATGGTACCTATTCGAACCAATAATTCATCTTTATAAAATATTTTTCGCATGTAATATTGGTGATGAGTGCCCTCTTTTGCTATCCAATCACCTAAAAGCTTAAAGTGGTGCTTTGATTGAAGAAAAGAGTGATGCTATTTTTCTCCACCGGCGATAATCAACATATGATGTGGCAAAAAGCGTCTCATATTCGTACATTTAATTGACCTTATCATTTTATAGCACATCATGTTTCACATAGACTAAAGATAATTTCTAATAGAGATAAATAGCATCATTCTACAGAAAAAAGGGAAAACATGCCTCCAAAGAGCCAGGGCGGTCAAAGGTTGGCTATACTATACTAAGTTCACAAGCGATAAGGAAAAAATAACAATTTATTATTAATCAACCTGATGTTAACTACTTATAAATTAATTATCACATCCTCCTTTACGCTTTCCACTTGACAAACCATTGATACAATTTTCCAACAACTACAATACATAATAGCAGACAGAAATTGACAAGGCCACAAATTCATTTATGTATGTTGGAAAAAAATGAGTTGAGTGGTTAACTTTGGTACAAATTTTGGGTGGGACCTGGTTGGTTATTTTGAAAGTTCAATATTGATTTTTGTTCTTCTCCGTCAGAACATCGAAATCATGTATTTATTTGCCAAAATTGATGTTCAGATGAATGAGAAATTGGAGCTCAAAGTGTGCCTATTGAAATAAGTTTATGTTGTTGGAGGGAAATCATTCAAGGTTGTCCTACAGGAAAATTATGAAAGCAAATATGACCTTAAATAGGATTGCACTTGGAATGATGTGATCATGTGTAGCATAAAAGCTCTCTCTACGTGTGAGCAGGGGGGGGGGAATCAAACATAGATAAGCTTCGGACGTGAAAATTGGCCCTTTAGATGAACCTACGTTTGAATTCCAAAACTGCCGAAACTCCAATATTCATTGTATTATATACGAGTTAATGACATTCATGGTGTTGAGCCTATATATATGCAACCCGATTTCTACTATTCCACACAAGAAGAGGAAAAAGAAGAAAATACACAGCACACACTTTCTGCATAATTTTATAGAACACAGTTTCCACATAAAGTTTCTTACGGTATACAGTCCCTTCTGTTCGGAATTATTTTGGTGATACTGTTCAGACACAAGTTTTTTTTTGAAACACACGAAAATAATAAAAATAAAATAAAATGAAATGAAATTTATCGTTATACTGAAAAAAGGGGAAGAATGAAATATAATTAAATTTCTATCTTATCTAATTAGATTTTGATAAAAAAAGAAGAAGTATATCGATATTAGATGGGGATGGTAGTTCTTTTTGATTGAATAAAACAAAGATAAAGTATAATATTTGTTTTATGATGCACATCAAATAAATTTTTGGTTTATCAATTACTCTAGCCTACACCTATATATAGGCATGATGGAAGAGTTTTACATATACAAATCCAAATATTCATTTATGATAGAGAGAGGGGGAGAGAGAAAGTAGTGTTGGAAATCTAAAAGTTTGCATACATCATTGTCAATCAATACACTTTCATCAAGGCAGAGAGTTTGAAAAAATAATTTGGACACAAGTAATTATATTTCGTGCATTAATTCCTTTTACTTAGCAAGGTAAAATACTTTACATACAAGTGTTTTTGTTTCCCTATATTTTTATATTCAATTAAATATACATGGAATGTCAGTAGACATTCATTTGTTTTTTAAAGAGAAATAAAATCCCACGGGATTATAAGAGGACCTAAGATGGGTGTGTTACTTGGTCACCGATATACTCCATAAAATCAGAGTAGTATAAAATGTATAATTTTTATTGTTATATATTTGAATATGGAAACTGCACATAAGTTACTTGGTGTTTTTCAATACTCACCCTTAGAATTTTTACAAATTAATTTGGGTCGACTGGAACTGTAGCGAATTGGTGACGTGGACAGTCAAGGGAATCCAATGAAAAAGAAAAATAAAATATTAGTTTGCTATTATGTCTCTAATTTTATTTGTTAGCTCTAATTGTTCAAAAGACCACTTGTTTAATTAGTCATAATCATTTGATTATGTTTAGATTTTTAGAAACTCAGATCTCGTATTTTAAATTGATGTTTGGGTTGAAAATAAAGAATTTCTTTTATTTGTATCGCCCTGGATTTATTAAGAGAAAAAATTGAATTTTTCATAAAATCCTAGTGTTTATGAAAATTTGGGGCGTTACATTTTCAACAGAGTAGTATTTGAGGTGCTCAAATTCTACAATTCCTCCATTGTATCTTGGGAGACAGGCGTTCGAATCAAACCTTAAGCACCTACGGTGAAAGGGCGAATCTGTTTTAAAAAAACTGTGTTTACACAGGCCTCGATTAAATTTTTTTCTTACTTTTGGCTAGTTAGTTTACTTATTCTGTTTTATTGAAATTTAATCTACTATATTTTTGCTAACTAGATTAATTTATTCAGTTTATTGTAGTTTAATCTGCTATATTTTAGGTAGTATCCAAGTTCACTGCATATACGGTATATGCAAAATCTATATGTGCAAATCCAGTATCTAAACTGCATATACAGTAAGCTGCTGCATATAAGATGTGCGTATCTCCTAACATTTAGTCCAACAATATGCACATAAATTATTGAAAAAATATGAACTATAAATCATAATCATATCAAATAATTTTTAAGGCAGCGTTGGAGCATCTGGATTGGATCTGTAGAAAGACCATTCAATATAAATGGATGTATCGCGCCACCACCGAGTAACGTTAATTGAATTATACTAACACTGAATAAGATTGAAAAATTGTCCACGGAGAAATCAAGACCAATATGTGAAAGATTTTGGCATGCACAAAAACTTCCAACTTCTAAAGTAAACAATCGTGAATATTAAAATCAATCCATGCGAACATGAAGAAAGAGAAAAAGATATAGACAGATCATACTCTCAGTGTCCAATTCAATAGCCTTGAAGGAAGCACCAATCTCCGTCAACAATTTCTTCACGCTCACGCAGAACGGACAGTATGACTTGCTGTCATACAAATTAAAAAAAAAAAAAAAAAGGATTCACCCACTTTATCAATCAAAACCTCACTCCAAACAACGCATTCACAAGCCCTAAATCAATTTTGCGTGTGTGCAATAAAGATACAATTAATACCTGAAGACGACGACGGGGTTGGTAGCTATAATTTCCTTAGCCTTGGGTAGTGCCATTACTCAATCTTCGCCGATTAATTCTCGAGACCTAAAGCAGAACAGGAAATGCACAGAAGACTTTGGGAAAGCTGGAGATATTTAAATCGAACGCCGTCTAAATAATTGAAGCCTGGTCCACGTTCCGGATTTTAGAAGTCGGCCGGCCCTTATTATTCGCACTTGAATGGACCAAGCCTCATTATATTTACTAAACCCATTTAATTATTATAATTAAATGATGTTACGTAACTGTTTATTCGGTTGGTCCAATTAACATTATATTTGACATAGTATGCTAAATCTTCACGTATGCTAATAGTTATTTAAACGGTTGATTCTTTGTCACAACATTTTTAAAGGAGTTATTCTATGATTTTTTCTCATTTTATCCATATTATAATGAGTTTTTGTCTTTTTATCGTTGAAAGTCCGCAACTTGCCCACAATATGCGAGGTCAGTCAAACAAAAAAAGGGCCAAGTGGGGCCCATCAATAGTATAATCTCTTTTAAAAATGATAAACAAACAGAATTTAAGCATTAAAATGAAAAGGTAGAAGCTTTATATTTATCATGATTTGAGATATTTTGATTGAACGTGAACTTTCTTTTTCTTTGAAAATCACTTCTTATTTTGAAAATATTTAGTTGAGGTCAAAGTTCATTGCCCGATATTGATTTTGGAGTGTATTTAAATTTAGTGATTAAATAGTACACAAAAATCTATTAAAAATCTACTTAAACTATTATTGTTTTAGCAATTAAATCTAGAAGAAATTGATTTTCTTTTTACAAACCGTGTCAATTTTAAAGTGGTGTCTTATATTATATCGGGTCATCTATTTCATAAATACTTTAGTAAATAAAATAAGAATAATTTACTTGTACATAATTATCTACATATTGGTATACAAAGAAAGAGAGAAAAACAATTTGAAAGAGAGGGAAAAAAGGAAAAGAAAATCAGTTAAATTTTAATAAATACTCAAAAGGACAATTATCGTCTTGCCTTACTTGCAACAAGTCATGAAATTTGCAGTATTTTTGAATTCCGTAATCTTTCAAATTTAAAGAAGGAAAATATATATGTATATATATACGCATACATATCGCCTTTCTTAGACCATATCAAAGAAAAGTGTTTCATTTGTTAAAAGTTGCAAGTTATTTTAATTCAAATTTCTTAAATTCTTTCATTTAATTGTCCAAGCATAAAGAAATGCATTCAAAATAAAAGAATTGACTAAACATATATGCTTTTTTACGTGAAAAAAAAATTTTACATACTAAGAATATGCTCTGCAGGACTTTTGAAAAGTCAAAAGCTACTTTTAAACATATTTGAATAATTTTCAAAAAGTGACTTGTCGAAATAGAAAAGCTTTTATAAGAAGCTAGCCTAATGTTACTTTCTCAAGAAGTTCTTTTTTAAGATGCAGAAGTAAAAGCAAAAATCATGCGGCCCAAATGAGAATTTCAACTTGCCACCTAAAAGTTGTTTAGAACTCAGCGAGACATGCCCCCACGGGCATGGCGCAATGGTAAAGCGGGAGGGTTCTATACGGAGTATCGGATGTTCGAATCCCCGCGGCAGCTGGAAAGCAACATTTATGTTAGAAGACAGTTGTCATGTGGAGGTAAAATTATGGTGCGCTTTGTCGCCCCTCCGGAGGTCCTGTCCACACGTCGTAAAGGGAGGTCTACATGGAGGAGAACCGCTTCTTGAATGTCCAGCCAAAATATGTATAAGCTGTAATAATATCCGAATTTACCTGGGTGGTGAACCAGAGGAAAAGGCCGCCACTCTTTAAGATTAATCAGGAGAAGCTTGGACACCTGAGTTATCCAAAAAAAAAAAAAAAATCAACGAGACACTGTTAACTAATGTCATTGTTACTCATCAGTTTGTGCTTAACTGATAAAATACACAAATCAATTATTGATTGACAATAATTAGCAATGTTCAGAGTTTACTGTCCATAAGCTATCCAATACCCGACACCCGTGTTCTATTAGATATCCATGTGACAAACTTGAACAAAAAAACATAGTATCTTCACATTAAACTAGTGTTGTCCTGAAGCTTGGACTCGAGATTATGTGTAACAGCATCAATGAACTTTTCTGTGTTCAAGCAAAACTCCCTTGATACCCTGCATGTACACCAAAGGCCCTAGGAGCTCCAGATAAATGTAATTCGCACTTAAATAACTATAAGAAAGTTGAACAGGAATCTTGGCACTACAATTTCATAACCTGGTATCCTCCAATGAACCATATGCACAATTTTGAATGAGAGAAAGAAGTGAGAAATAATCCTTGAACATTGATTTTAAAATACATTCAAACTCCTCTTTCCAATAAAGAAATCTTATATCAAAACACTATGTATGAATCTCCAAAACAATAGCGAATAAAAGCTAGAAAGCCTTGACTAATTAAGGTGTCGAAAATTATCTAGTTATGTTGCAATTGGTATCGTAACATCAGCAGTCTCCCCGAACAATACATAGTTTTTCCTTTGGAGATCCCAAAGTAACAATTAAATATATAATTACAAAGGTTCAGATTGTGATGGTGACCATTTGTTGTCAAAGCATCAACAATTTTTCAAAAGATAAAAGACACTACTTGGGTCCATGAATCAAAATCGCAAGATCTTTGGTCATCTTCCCAGATTCTACTGTCTCAATGCACGCAACTTCAAGCTTGTGAGCAAAATCAAATAGTTTTTCATTTCTATCAAGTTTAGCCCTTATAAAGATGTTGATAGGCATCAAGATATGCTTAAATGCAAGCACATGAACTCAAGTTCATAAAAAGCATAAAACACTCGTGATAACCAATGAGATTAGAAAAAATGTGTTCCGAAGTAACCAAGGGTGTCGAAAAGAACTTTCCAACAACTGATTATTATGTTCATTTATTCCCTGGGTGCATAAATCTTTAATCATAGATTGTCTTAACTAAGAAGATAATATTATAAAGAAACAATCTCCACAAATGGACCACTTTTTAGATCCAAATAATTGTAGTAAATTGCTCATAGCATGGTGGTTCGGAAAATAAATCAAGTAGTTGTGTTATAGGAACAAAACTAACTTGTGTTCTAATCCTCTTGTCCAGGTAAATATAGGAGCAATGTTGTTTGTACTCGTTTCTTGTCCCTTCTGATGTAGCCAATAATGACGAGTAACAGTGCCATGAGCCGCCTCTGCTAATATTTTGCCATCACCCCACAACTTCAAACAGACAAGATGGACTGTATCAATATTACATGAACAAATACTTCAACTTAAAGAAAAATGCAATACTTACTAACACAGAAGTCACCAGGCTTAGAGAGCCAAATCCTGCACAGACATGTATTAAAAAAGACTTGCACTAGCATAATTAACTTACATGATTAGTTAAGATATTGCAAATCATATAGAAAAGTAGAGCCACATTAATCTATTTTTTATGTCTCGATTTTTACAGGCATTCACCTAGGGGAAGCATATATGTTTTAGAAAACAATGTGAATGGGCACATAAGGTGATATGCATCAAAGATATAAAGCCAACCATATTGAATATTCTTCAAGTTGCTCCTTCCACTTCTCTTCATATACCTTCTGAAATATATCCTTGAACCCGAAATAGTGAAATATTGATGTAAATGGTATTATATAGATACATTTGATTTTATTAATATGATAATAGTTGACCAAGCTTTTCCGAAACAAATAACCCGACATCATGCTTCTTAAGAATTGTATTCTTTGTGCTCAAGTAAAGAGGCCATTTTTTTTTTTTTTTTGCAAATGCCATTGCCATTGATGATTCTGCAAATGCTCGAGTAGATCGATAAATTTTTACAAAAATCCAGATGATGAGGCAAAAGACTGTAAAAAAGATTCAATTTGCAGGCGAGCTGTCTAAAGACAAACCTGATCAACATTATACATAGCAAGGGCAACGCTGGGTCCTTTAATGTAACACCCCCCAAATCTATATACCTAGATCTGGAAGTATTATTATTTCATTCTCTTTTTAAAATTATAAATGCGGAAAAGAATAAATTTTTTTTCTTTGACATAATAAATACCAATTACTTATTATTTTAAAATAATTTGTAGTCAACAAAACATAGAACAATTAAATCGAATTTTAAATTTAATTACAAAAACTAATGTGCACATACATATACTGGTACATATAATGTGCACACACTCATCTGGCTCACTCATTTCATATATAAAATGAAATTGAAACATTATTTTAATATTAATCAAATAAAATGTCATGATTGCTTTTGAATTCAAAATTAAGCAATTGAGTAAAATAATAATTAAAATTTCATACCCTACCACCATTCTCATTTTCTAGAATTCAAAATGCCAATTCATTCATGAATACGATGGAGCCGATTTTAACATGTAAGGCGGTGAAGAAAATAGGTAAAGTCTTATTTTCTAACTTAATGACAATTAATTGGCATAATTTATGAAAATAAATATTAAAACTCATGATATTTATACGCATATTGACAACATTATTCTAAAAGTATATAATAAAATAATTAAAAGAAACTAACCTCATTATTTATTGAGGAATCAGTAAATACATATTATATACTTTCTCCTTGCACTGTTCATGTTGTTCAAAGCCCGTTTTGATTTGGAGTTGGAAAGATGATTAGAACAATTTTCTTAACTACAATAAGATTATAGAAATGGAAAGAAAATGAGGGTTTTGAATGATTTAGGTTATAAGAGATAATGAATGGTTTTTCTTTTTCTTTTTTTCCAATAATACAACTAAAAATGGGGAGCAACTTTGGCGTATTCTACCTCAGAGATGGAAAAGTTTAACTTTAATTAGCTAAATCAAGGCCTTCAAATCATAAGAGTCAATTTTCAATTTTTCGGGACATTCATTACGTGAAATCACATTTTATTTCCATTAATTTATTGAATTACCAAATTAAGGTTTAATTTTCAATTCAATTAATAAAATTGACTTATATGCGCAAATGAATGCTTTACATCCATCCTAGAAATGGAAATGATAGCTAATTAAATAATAACGTAAAATAAATGCATTAAATCGTAATTTACTCCAAAATTTATCAACATTATGTGCATATTACAGTTAAGTTTAATAAGTTGTTGATCGTCTAGA